AAATATTTATATACATATCGATTCAAACATTTTATTTTATTCTAAATTTAAATTTAACTTTTAGTGTAAAATATGCAAATTGAAATTGATATATGAGCATTTCAGTTGGCAGAATGACTAATTCTAATTTCAGCATTTTCTATTATTAATTTTAGTGATATTTCTACTGGGAAAATTTATACTTTAATTCACAGTTCTATATTTCAACACTGCAATCAGCTTACTCACTGTATAGATATTATAAATTTTCCAACTAAAATGACAACTCAAAAATGTTGAATTGGGAGTGTCATTCTGTCAATTTAAAGGCTCATATAATGAGGTTTAAAGTTGTTAAACCCAAGTGAATTAAATTTGTAATAATATGCAAATCCAGTCTCTATTAATAATGATAAATCGTATTATAAATTATGCTGATTGTCTTTTACTCTTTTTTGTTTGATAGCCTCCTCAAGTTCCACACAACTGGAATAGTAAAAAGGCTTCAAGACATATGGCTGCCACTCACCCCTCCAGAGGGCGTTAAAGTCAAGTCGATCGAAGGCATCAAGTTCGCTCACGTCAAAGACTTGCTTTTCCTATATTTCATGGCTGCCCTACTTTCATTGATTATTCTCTTGATAGAAATAATCATTCATAGAAAATTTAACTCATCCGAAAGAATGATGAACACAGGGCCAATAAATGCAATGAGATTTAAAAAAATTCCTTAGAATTCATTTAATTTATTAACAACTAACACAATCTGATATTTAAAATGATAGTGAATTAATGTCACATGGTAGAATGCACTGATTCAGATGAAATTCTTAATTCAATGAAGATAGATAGTTATAAGTAAAATAAAATAGTTTGAATATCCTGTAGGTCCGATTTGAAAAATTCTATTTATGTTGGGTGTTTTAAGGAAGACATGATCCTCAACATCTCAAGTCACCTCACCTCTTTGCACAACTGTTGATCAAGAAACATTTCCTTACAAAGTACTAAATCCAAGATCCTACATGGGTTGCAGTGGTACATAATTTTTATAATACTTTCTATTATATTATTGTATCATTATCATTTTACTACCCTACTAATTATTGTTTGCATTTAATGTGTAAATAAATAAAACATTCTTTTTTTCTATTCCTTAACTACTGAATATCAGAAGATCTATCTGTTAAAGGGGTCTAACATTAAGGGAACTAAAAAATTAATCTCCAATTGGATTCTTTCTCAATTTTAAGTTCAACTATGTTATAACCCTATGGACCATTACTGTGATTTTTATTTTTCCATACCTTATTGTATAACCTTACATAAGTTCTGGTGTTATAAACTTCTATTCCTTTTAGTCTTACTGTTGTTCATTGTTGCTTCTTTTTATATTTATTAATTATTTTATTTATTATCTTATAAATTATTACTGCTATATATTCATATCTATAGATAATCTTAATTATCATTTACCTTCGGTTTCTGGCAAAAAGGACCAATAGGCCCACTTGCCGGACTAAATCCCCCCACCTGTACCAGTACCTTCGGTTACGATAATCCTTTTATTATTATTCTTATATAATCTTATAGATCTCGTATATTGCCATTTATATTTAATATACATTATAATTATGTTATAATTCATTATATCATTATACTATATTGTAATATTATACTATGTTAGAATTGTATTATATTGAAATTAATAAAAAAAAAATGTAACCATGTAAAAACTATTTACTTATTATTAATGGCACTAACTGATAGATGTTGCCATTTGGTTGGCAATTACCAAATTGTAATTATTTGTTAATAAAAACTAACCCAATAAAAAATTCTCCTACTCTTCATTAGAATAAACATTAATTCATTCAGTTGTTGGCAATAAAAACTTCCATAATGCATACAAATTATGTATTTGTTACAGTTTAGTTGTACTTTACGTTTTGGGATACGATTCCCATCTTCAGAACTTTATCTTGCCTTCACTAGAAGTAAATAGCTAAAAAAAGTTATATTAAAATGAATACATGTTACAAATTTGTTGTATTTACCAATACCATGTGTGTTCATTTTTCATAATTTAAACATTTTTTATAAATGTATTTTCTAAAGCAACTACATTACTGGACTAACAATTGTGTGTCGGTGTTAGCTGCTTGGGGTTTGTTATTCAACTTTGTACCTGATTATTTGTTACTTTTCTTTTAAGATATGGTATATGGTATGTTGGTTATATTACAATATTTAATTTCATTATACTTTAATTTTGTTTAAATTATACTTTAATTTTGTTTGCCCAGTGTTTTGTAGTTCACAATTATTCTATTGTTTTGTGATGTGGATGACTTCAAATAATTTTCTGTTATTTTTTTATCCAGTTTTCCTATTATTTGTGATTTATTAAAATTAAAATTGTGTTATAGTTCTATACTATAGTATGCTAATACTGCGGAGTTTGGAATTAATTAATTCAATATAACGAATAATAATCTATTTACAACTAATCTTGATTTGTTTATAACATACTAACAATAACAACATCGTTGTCAGTTTAGAAAATAAATTATAATCACAATAAAGCACCATTGCTAAATTCTGTGTTATTTATTTTATATTTATTATATGCAAGAACTCACAATTAGTATCAATCCTTCCTCTACCTAATACATTCAAAGTATAACTGTAACACGTTTATTTGAACAAACAATACAATTTTATAAAGAAAACCAACATGAACAATTTATAAAGCAGAATAAGATAATTAGCACTATGGAAATTTAACAATCAAGAAAGTTAAAACATTTCATAAAATAATCTAGGCTGTATATATTTCACCAATTCTTTATTTAATTCTTTTCAGATGGCTTTGGAAGCTGAAACGTTGCCATGGTAGTGAACGAAATAACAAATTGGTGAAATATACACTAGATTATTTTATTAACTGATTAGAACTTCACCTGAACCCTACAGTATAAACCATCGTAATTTTTACAACCATCCTAAATAAAACAAGCTGTGGCACAGCCGTAAACATAACTCTTCGACACCAATCCTTCAGTACCTTTTCACCATTGGGAAAGGATATTCTTGACATAGTTTTGTGTTTAAATTTAAGTTTGTATTTCTTGGAATCAGGACGTAACTCACTCAGACTCGTAATTCTGAAACAACTGGATGATGCTAGCGAACTGTCTGACAATTTATCTGTAGATGACATAGTTTGCACAGAAAGTGAAGAAAACCCTTTGAAATTCCAGAAGGAAATAAATAAATATTAAAAACTTTACACATAACATGTTTATTTTTTTCTAGGGTTAAGGCAAATATACTTCCGTTTTTCTTCAGTCCTTTTAATTAAATCTATTATATCTGACGGGGAAAATTTTCCCATCCTCAGAGTATTCCTTATGTTTACTTGCTTTTGTGATATGGCACCAGTTGTCAAAAATTCAATAATTGTCATATCTATTTACATCTTTTTTTGATGTTACACATTCATTACCACACCAACATCTGCAGATCATATGTTCGTTGGTGTGATTATGAACGAAGAAATGAATGTGTAACACCAAAAAAATATTTAAATGGATATGACAATTATGGAAGTTTTGAAAACTGGTGCCATCACAAAAGCAAGTAAACATAAGGAATACTCTAAGGATGGGAAAATTTTTCCGAAATGTCAGATATAATAGATGTAATTAAAAGGACTGAAGAAAAATGGAAATATATTTGCCTTAACCCTAGAAAAATACATAAACGGAAGCTTCTTAAAAAAAGAAAAATAAGATGTTTATTTTTATTACTCTCCTTTATTTATGCATTAGATAGACTTTTAATGTATCATAAATTATAATTTACAGCAATATTTTAATATTTAAAAACCTAAATGACATGTGTTATGTATCTCATATCAAATGTGATGCCAAGGTGACTAAAATTAGAATTTTAGGGCTTTAAAATTCCTTAGAAATGTCACCCTCAAAATCTTTTAAGCCTAACATATATCGCTCGATCTGCCAACTTACCACTATTCATCCTAGAAAATGCGTCAATTACCCTCATCTTTTTAGTCGAGATAAAAAATTGCTGGAGGATAAAAATAAATATATTATTGTGCTGAAAAAACAGTCATTAAGAGTTAAAAATGGGCATCATTTGGCTTTTGGATTGAAAAAAAAAAGACGGCTTGAACACCACAATGTATTATTGTTCATCAAATTCAAACCTCAGCGAGGAAAAAGCTTCTAGCCCAATGGCATTCTCATTATTTTTTTAATGAAATTATGATGGAATATATAGTGAAATCCAGAAGAATCGGGAGATGTTCAAGAGTGCAGGAGGAACCCACAATGATTTGTGCGATGAAGAACTAAATACATATATATTTGTGTCCTATCTTTATAAATGTTATGACGGTTTCTAATTTAATAAATAATCAGTTTTAAAAAATCTTGTCTTATTTCTTAAAATTTATGAACATTTGTATTTAAGGTATATTGAAAAACTACTTTAGTCTAGGGTTGAACAAAAATAAATAAATATTTAAAATTTACGCAAACCATATATGTTTATATTACTCTCCTTTATTTATCTATTTGATAGATTTTTAATTTATCATACATTATAAAATACGGCACTATTTTAATCTTTAAAGATCTATGTTAAGTATTTCATACCAAGTGTGGTGCCAAGGTGACTATAATTAGAATTTTATGGCTTTAAAATTCTGTAGGAATGTCACCTTCGAAATCTTTTAAGCCCAAAATATATCGACTCAATCCGCCAACTTACCACCATTAATTTCATTTTCTTTTTTTTTTTTTTAAATCATTTTAAGAAAAACTGTATTATTAATTTAATGATCAAAATTGGGATTTGCCACTCCTCCGTGAAATTCTACTTGTTTTTTGACAAAGGTATACGTATAGTAGATTATAGATTTCAGCATTTCTGTCAATATTGATTTACACTAGTACCAGGTAGTATATTAATAGATAGGAAAAAATATATACATAAATGTTGTTAAATTTTATATTTATAGTACATTAAATATAAATAATAAAAAAGTCACTTTCCAGCAGTCATTTTATGAAGTATATCTTGTACTTTCAACATATATCACCATCAATAAGTGGAAAAGAAAGGTAAATAAAAAGAAAAAAAGTGAAAACATGAGAGAACTCTTATCGATAGTAAAGTTTGATAATCACAATTAACAGGAAGGGATATATACAACAAGTTTGGTAATGGTAATGTACATCAAGTAATCCAACACAATTTTACTTGAACAATATCTATATAAAACAGTAAAACAATAAAATTAATCACTCCCTTCCTTGCTGCGGTCGGATTTCTTAGACTTCTTCTTTTTATGGCTCCTATGGCCTGGGCTACGACTACGACTCTTATGTTTCCTTCTCCTTTCTGATCTATCTCCGCTCCTACTGCGTGACCGGTGTCTATGTCTGAAAAAAAAAAATATAAATTTAAATGAAAATCAAATTGTATTTTATAATGAACACTTCATATTAAAATTCATAGAGGGCATGGCTAATGATAGGAATCAAACTACACCATACTCAATAACATCATGAATAAATCAAATTTTCACTTTAAGTTGTAACCAAGATAGGCAACATTGCAGAAAATAATATAAGTGTTTCTTCTTTTGTTTTTTGGACTATTTTTTTTTAGATTAGAATGCGTATATGTTCCCAGCATAATTTTTTTTTTTTTAGGTTTACATGTGACATGTCAAATATAATTGTACATAGTCAATAGAATAAGTATCGTTTTTAGAAGTGAAAATTTTTGGACTATTGGAAATTCCAAAAAGTTTTGGACATTTTTTGTGAAGAATGAATTAGACTGAGTAGTCAGGTCTTCGATATGTAACGCTCGGGTAAATTCAGCTGGAGTCGACTAATTGAAATGTTTTTCATAAGGATTCAAATATCTCAGAAACTAAAAAGCAGACTTGCAGACTGAAACGAGAGAAATGTTCATCATTTCATCCTCTTTGTAATGACCAGTTATTCAAAATTGTACCTAAATGCGACATCGTGTTAGACAAGGAAAAAATAGTGTTAAAAACAAAATGATAACGAGTTTTATTGAAGATATGGATTAATATAACTCAGAAACTAAAAATCAGACCTGCATACTCTAAGCGAGGGAATTGTTCAGCATTTCATTCTCTTTATAATGAGCTGTTATTTATAATTTATATTTCATATTATTAACCTCCTCGCCTTGTTTATGTTTTCAGTTCTATTATGTGGTCTAAAGCATGCACCTTAGTTTTTTTTTTGTTTTTTTTATTATTACCTTTATTGTCTTAATTATCTTTATGTTGAATTTCTTTCACTTGTACATATTATTAATTCTGTATATATCTATTTTTGTAAATAGACCACTAACTTGAAATATCTTTTTTTATGCTGCTTTATTACGGTAGCATGAACATTTTATCATAACTAGTTTAAATAATGGGTAAGTAAATATTTATGGTTTATATATTTGTCTCTTTGGAGATTAAAGACGAAAATAGCCAGACACCCAACAATTTAAGATCATCATAGAAAATTATCCTTATTAAACATTATTTTTTTATTTATTCTTTTTTTGGTCATAAAGTTTAATAAGTGATGTTTAAACTAAAGAAATAGAAAAGACTTTTTAAAGATAAGAAATTCATAGAAGATTATGATGACAGAAATTATGATTGAATAACATATCAAAGTGAAAGTATATATAAAGATTAAAAAATATCCTATATATTATTTCTAAAAGGTGTTTTTTTGTCGGTACACCATAACTTCGTCAATTCTTCATCAAATCTAGTGATGAAACACTCATTTTGAAGATATTCTTCTTCTTCACATGTGAAAAATAGTCCTATCCCCCCGAAAATTCTGGAAAAAAGTTATGAAGAAAAAGAAACTTTATTTGCGAATAACTCAAAAAGTATGCATTTTTTCTTTATTGTACCCATGATCATTAGAAAGATTACTAAATTACTTACAAACCAAAAAAAAAAAAAAAAATCGTAAAATTATTAACAAAGATAAAGTCCATTAGTTCTTGTATACGTAATAATTACTTCCTCTTTAAAGATATTGCATTTACTTTTCTACTACACTTTTTTTCCAGGCATATATATTAACTTTATTATTTCTTAAAGGTATTAGTTTGTTCTTACATATAATTTTTTTTAATAATTTAGAAAATCCCATGATCGGGGAGCTTTTTTATCTTTCAAGTCAGTGTTTAAAAATAGTTCCTAGCAAAGCAATTTAAAAAAATATTCTGGTCTATTTTCTTAAAAAGAATATCGTAATCGACCAACGAAAAAATATTAATTCCTTCCTTACATAATACATAGAATCTACTTATTTCCATATTGTTTTGCTATTTCTTCACAAAACAAAATTTTCTGCGAATTATTCAAACGGTTCAACTAGTATATACATATAAATAAAGACCATAAAGTGAAGTTAATTTACACTTGCATTCTCTATAGCTTCCAAAATCCTTATAACATTTTTAGACAAACAATTAAAATTTGTGAAAACAATAAAAATATTAAATGGCCCGAACTACAGATGTCTCTATTTGTATTTTAAAAAATTCACTAATTATAGATGTGAATTAGTGAGAGAATTCAATTTAGAATAAAATAGATTTATGTGTATCTGTATTTATATTTATATATTTAGAAAAACTTTTTAGTTAAAATTTGGTTTTATGTTAATTATGTAGATACTTAAATTAATTAAAATTAGGACATTCTCATATTGAAACTGTTAATCCTTAAAACATAAGATATCTGTATGTATAAACAAGATGAACACCAGTTCATTGTTGATAATTTGTTTAGTCATATTTAAAAAAAATGATATATATTTTATAAACAAAAAAAAAAAAATTTCTATCTATCAATCTTACTTTTCACATGTAGCCATAAAGATTCATTATTGGAAACAACAAAGCAAAGATTGTGTACAAATTACAAAAGCCTATATTTTTCCTCGTAATGGTCTCAATTAATTTTTTTTTTTGTTTAGTTAGGAATTCAGAAATCTTTCAGACTACGATGGGTTAGATCAACCATAAATTCTATACTTCTTGAGTTAAGAGCAAATATTTTTTCCTTTTCTTCATAACTTCATTTCTTGCCTTTTTTTCAGGAGAGGAGGTGATATGCTGATTTTCAGCATTGAACAAGAAGATAATCTTCAAAATGATATATTAACCATTGAATTTGATGAAGTATTAATGAAGATATAGAGCAACATAGTTAAAGAAAACAGCTATGACAAATTAAATATAAAGATCGAAAATATATTTTGTATGAAGTGTATAGTAGATGCTTAATAAAACTATATGACAAACAAATAAAAGAAGTTGAGGAACCAACCTCTCTTTGTGGCGGGATTCTCGATCCCTTTCTCTGTCCTTGCTGCTCTTCTCGACAGGTTCTTGTTTAATGGTCACCCCTCCAGGCAATTCCATGTCCTTGTTCATAGAATTATTCTACAAAACAAAGAATTATTCCATTATTAATATTTCACCAAATATATATTTTTTTTTTTTTACTATTTTAAATAAACTAAAAAAAAGATACCGCGCGGTAAAATATCAATGGTAGGGAACAATGATGAAAAACAAATGAACTAAATAAATTTGGTTCAGGATGTAAGTAAGTGCCAATCTGCTAATAAATAATTAATTATTATGTTATCCCACAAACATTTGCTCTTTTAAAATTAATTCCAAACAAGAAGCTATTTTACATTGAAAAGTCTATCTTGATAATCTCAAATTCAAGAGAAGAAAAAAAAATTAAAATATTTTGCTAGCTTTTCACAAACTAATTGTAATGGTTAAATTGGCAAAAAATACTGTGGATCACCACCAAAACTTTGTAATCTTTAGCCACAGGATTAAAAAAGAAATCAAAACAAACAATTTTTCAATAAAAAAATCACTTTTGACTTGTTTTTTACACATTATCTTATATGGAGAAATCTATAAACTAACATAAAAACAAATAAAGTAAATGTACCAGTAATAGACACTATAAAGAAATGTTTAACATTAATGTGTACCACAGCTTTAGTTTTGATGGTGGATCTTTGCAAATAAGATTTTTGTTCTATACAGTCAATCAGTTAATTATTCACGAAAAACTTAGGAAATTCTGGTAGCGTATATTGTACCAGTAATAGAAAGTTTTTGAGGCCAATAGATATTTTATACAATTAAATTAAATAAATTCTGAACAGTTTTAAACTAAAAAATGACAAACGACAGAGGAATGAATCAAAATTTTAAACTTTGAAATCTCTTAAAGAAAAGTGATTGATTAGAAAACCACATGAAACAAAACCCCAGTCTTGCTCCTTCACAAATCAAGTATCAATCGGTAATTGCGGCTTAAGGCGTCAAATACATAAGTGTTTAAACTACAAATCTACGCATCTTTGCACTCTCTATAAGACATATAAAGCTTATTATTAGTTAGTGAGTTGAAAACTGTCTATTAATGGTACTTTTACCTAAAAGATTTAATATGAATATAATAAGGAATAACTTAAAATATGCTTTGAAAGGAAATAATTAAAATAAAGAAGGGGTCTTCTTAAAGACTCTATATTCGTGCAAGTCACATCTTCATACTGACCCTCCTTTTCAATCCAGAGTGTCTTTTCATATCTTATCACTACTTCATAATTATTTATTTTTAAATTGGTGCAAACATTAGAGAGTATTCAAAGTGGCCATCTGGTCGAATGGTATAGTATGATTGTACAATATTGAATGGCAATTTTGAGTATTCAATAATTTTAGTGTCAAATAAAAAGTCATAGTATCTATTTGAACATTTTTCTCAGAAAGGTATACATTGCATATACGAAACCAAATAAATTAGGGATATTCAAGCAACCAGTGCTGTGTTAATCCTCTTAAATGTGTTGAAGTTAAAATCGTATTTAACGTTTTTGTGCTAAATATGACAACTAGCACACTCTATTTTAACTTTGTCTGGGGTCAGTTAAAACATATGCTAATTTTTTTTTTTTTAAGCATGAAGAAGGTTATGTTTTTAAGAAATAAAAACTAATATTTCTAAGATATAAAACGATTTTATTTCCAGGGAATGATTTTCTAATTTTTTTTATATCCAATCACTTATAAATTTAAGTTTGAAACTTCAGATAATAACCAACATTCAAATAATAAGAAAAATAAACATTAAAACCATTAAGTGAAATCCAAAATCGTGAGAGTGGTTGTAACTAATTATAGCAAACAACATTACAACAGATAACTGACCCCTCACAATTAATGCTAATCGTTTAACAACACAAACAATTGTGTGAATATCCCTATTGTATAAATCTAGGAAACATCATTACAATATAAAAGAATTTATATAAAATATTAAAAAAAAGTAACAATGATAAATGAGATAATGTAATAATGAGGACAAATAAAATTATAACAAGTAAAACGAAGGAGTCAGGCATTCATAGGAATGTCCACCTGCTTGATGGATTACTATTACATAGATTAGTAGGAACATCAGCCTGACAGATAGGTTACGTTAAACAAATCTAGATCTTACAGAATTATTATCGCTCTTCTCAAAGTAAACAGAACAATAATAAAGCAACAAGGCTACTTTTTGTCTAGCGGGCCGGCGCGGAACCTCACTTCTTATCTAACGTCACGTCACATAACCTCCCTCCTTCTTATCCAGCCAAACCTTTGAGTTATTGCATTGCTTAGTTTTCAGTTATTCCCTTATTACATTCACTTATTAAATTCTTTACTTTTGGCCCGTTTGTGTTTATTTTACATTTTTTTTTTTAGTTTGTGGCCCCCTTTTGAAGAGGACCCGTCCTCACTATTTTAAATAGCATAAAACAATTTTGCCTTTGAAAATAAATTGTACATATGTTGTTTATAGTGTTGATATTTTTTCTTTTCTGTGTAAATATGTTCTTTACATGTTTTTTATTATTATTTCATTTTCATCTTTTATATCTACATATGTTCTTCAAGTGTTTTTTTATTATTTCATTTTGATGTTTTATATGTACATATCTTCTTAAAGTGTTTTTTTATTATTTCATTAATATGTGTTGTAAAATAAAAGTATTTTTTTTGTTAGTACATTTGTTTTTGTATCTGTTTACACTTTCAATAACACTAATATAATACAATAATACGAAGATATGAAGTAGGAGAAGGCTTATCACTGCGTTATCGGAATTATCAGTGTTCAGGTTATAAACATTGGCAGATAGCAGTCAGTGCCGGCCTGCTAGCCAAAAAGTACCAAAAGATGAAATGCTTCCGCCTGACAGACAGATGCTCCATTGAAAGGGTTTCAGGAACTTTACACGATAGAAATTCAAAGGTTGTGATCGTTTATTTTAACGATTTTCTATAGAACTATAGTTTCAGCTTATCAGATTAACTATCTGTAGTTCTACGTTATTGTAAGAAGAGAGGTAGAGATAACGATAGGCTAAAGAAATACTCTACAGCAGCAAGTGAATTCTACTTTCAACTATAGAATAAAATATAGTTATTACTGACGTGGAGGTATTTGGATCTTTTAGGATGGTCTAAGGAATGGGAACCGTGGGATTTTTTGTCACGATGCCTTGAACTCCAAACCTAAAGTCGGAAAAGCAACTTTAATATTATTTTGATACCAATTAAAATCTTGGATCACCTTAATAATAATTACAAAAAAATGTATTAAACATTACCTGATTCATCATTTGACCACCCCATTGCATATCTTGTGAATTGTCATAAGATTGGTAGTAAGGATCCATTTCTGGATTGTAGAAATCTTGATTGTATCCTCCGTGAGATGGATAACTACAATGATGGTTAATTATATGATAAAAATGTATGATATAAAATAATGTTAATTAAGTGGTTATTAATAATAGTAAGAGGATGCCTACATGAATCTGTTAATAAGGTTTAGAGATTTTCTGAACCTTAATAAAATTTCTTATCACTTCAAATTAGGCAGTGAAAAAAAAAATATTGAAATTTTATCAAAATATTTTATCATAACATTAAAAAATATTTTTATGTTTAATAGGCTGGGAAGCTAAGCTAGTGGGGGGTTGCAGTCGCAGTGAGAAACACAAATAAAAATAATAATAACCAGGCTTAGCGAACCCAAAGGTTCGATACCAACATCACCAATACATGTCTAGATTCTTTCACCCACTGAGCACTGTCTAAATCCAACCCCACCAGATCAGCCTAAATGCCATTTCCCCACCATCGCTTGAAGTCCACTCCTCGGGCACTTATCAGTCGGCACAGCACACATTAACTTTTAGGAATTCTTTGGTTACTGAGTCCAGCGATTTTACATGCCCATTTTATTCGACGCAACGTAATCCCCTCAATCATATTAAACCGGGTACATTTCACGCAATTCAGCATTGAGTAACCACCTAAATTCTCTGGTTGACTCATTCTTCTTCAGTCCGAATATTCTACACAATACTATATTTTCAAAAAACTGGGGGATCTTCTGCTCAATTAGATTATATAGCTTTTGGTGGTCAAATAAAAAATTAAAATTTTTAATTAACACATTAGCTCAGACTCTTCCCAGACTGTAGACATCCTGTAATTATAATAATATATTCTATACAACTAAATAACTAATATGAAGAGATAATAATAATAAAAATAAGCTTGTATAGATGGTAAATAGCCAGAAGGTAGTCATTTTAATGCTGAAATTTCAACCTAAACATGTGGGTCATCATTAAGACTGAAAAATCGTTTAATACAATTAGAGATATAATATAAGGCAGATAATGGTTAATAATTTAAAAAATAGTGATGGAATCTCCCAGAAAAAAAAAAACATCCTTCAGGTTTGGTGCAATTTTCTCATAATTTTTTATATATCTATTTTAGGCCAAAGGTCACCAAATATACACAGTTTTTTTATCTCCTGTATTGCTTTATTCAACATTTCGGCTTCAGGAGCCATTTTCAAGATCCTGCAAAACTAATTTTAATTTAGTTTTTACCATTCAAATACATCCTTATCAGACACATATTATTTAACAACCATAAGTAATATAATTAGTCCAAAATTTATTTTTAATTTTGAATAAATTTATATCATCAAATATAAAAAAAAACATATTTCCCAGATTACCCAAAAATCCATAATTGCCCTCAAACAACTCCTTGTAACCTCCCTTATATTCCTCTGCTTTGATTACGGCTGTTCTTGTGTATGGAGGGCTATCTGCCAGGCTAGAAATGAGACTGAAGAAACTCATGAACTGTTTCATAAGATACATCTTCGGGATCCCCAGCCGTTCACATGTTTCATTCTGGTACACCGAGTTGAAGTGGCTTTATCCTACTTCCCGACGACAATTCCTCCTTGGTGTTTTCCTTTTTCAAGTCCTCAGGAACAAAAACCTTCCCTACATCCTGGAACTCCTTAATCTACGTGCCTCTATCCACTCTCTTAATACCAGGTCTCAACCTATAGATTTATATATCGCCTGCCATAAAATTATTTCCTTCAGCAAATCCTTCGTCATTCGTGCTACCTCCTTTTGGAACTCTCTTCCTACCTCCATGTATCAATCCTCCTCCACAAATTACTTCAAACAACTCCTGTTCCACAACCTAATCCACATTCAAACTTCCGCTAACATGTAAAATTAATTGTATCTGTATACTATTTAATTTCAATCTACTGCACAATTGCAATAACAATAAGCAGTTAATTAGTTTGTATTTTTTATTATTCCAAGCCAGATTAAGACCCATAAATTTGTAACTCGTGTTATTATTCTTAGGGGACTACAGTCCCAGAATAAAGTTATTTTCTAATTTCATGAAATATGTTATAAGTTATACAAATTAAAAAAATAATGTATATAATCAATTTATATGAAATGTAATATTTACTCATACTAACAGTGTTTAGAGCACAGAAGGTATTCAAGTACACTTTGGTAGGTTAGTTAAAGGGTCGGTGGAGGATTTTCAAGATGTGCATTTAAGATAACTAAGGACTATTACAAGCCATTATCCATAATTTATTAATTATAAGAAACAATGTAGCTCTTGTAGACATGCGACCTTGAATATTTTAGTTATCAAATTATTTGCATTTCACAAACAAAAATGTTAATCCCGCCTGACTTTGTTTACCTACCTATGTGTCAGTATTTGAATACCTTCAGTGCTCAAAACACGGTTAGTAAGAGTAAAATTACACTTCTTATAAACTGATTATATAAATTATTTTTTTAATTTGTATAACTTATTAAATATTTCATTTGTTATTTATTAAATTATTTTTCATTATTAGCCATTATCTATCTTATAATATTATATCTCTGATTGTATTAAACAATTTTTCAGCTCTGATGATGACCCACATGTTTCGGTTGAAACATCAGTACAAATAAAAACCTTTAAAATAACTGCGTCCTGACTATTTATCACCTATGGTATGTAGAACAGTCGACCAACTTCCTTCAATAAATAAGCTTTTAGTTTTTTGAGAAGGAGTTAATTGGGAGGTGCGGTCAAATAAATACTAAATTAAAATATAGTAATTATTTAATTTTTGCCAACGTTTTGACCCACTTTGCAGGTTGTCTTCAGAGCTACAAAACATGTTGAAAATAAAAAATAAATATAAGTAGATATAAAAGAAGAAGAAGTTGTCAGATACAGAAATAAAAAGATAATATCAGAGATGTAGTGGGTGACAATGTAGTTAAAATATTAAGTATTATATATGTAGAAGATACAAACAAATGGAAAATAAGTATGAATAAAAATAAAAATAAGATAAGGAAAAAGTGTATAACAAACTATCTTATATTTTATCGCAATCTGTTTACTTTTAACTTACATACTATATTCTCCTTTATTTTTATTTTTATTCATACTTATTTTCCATTTGTTTGTATCTTCTACATATATAATACTTAATATTTTAACTACATTGTCACCCACTATATCTCTGATATCATCTTTTTATTATATTATATCTACTTATATTTATTTTTTATTTTCAACATGTTTTGTATCTTTTGTAGCCTTTTTTTTTTTTTCTGTCCTTCCCTTCCTCGCCTCTAAGGCTATATGGGGGTTTTCCCGGGCCAGGGAGTGTGGGCGGGAATTTAAAAACTCCTCGGGCACCGGGACGCGAACTTGTGACTATTTTTATTATCAAAGTGTTATGTATCAGGTTGCCGGACAACGGCGGTGCAGTGCACACGCGTTAGCCCATTCGGCCACCCCGCCCACCAAGTCTTTTGTAGCCCTGAAGACGACATGCAAAGTGGGTCGAAATGTCGGCAAAAATTAAATAATATATATATTTTAATTTATTATTTATTTGACCCCCTCCCATTTACTCCTTCTCATATTATATCAATGGTCAACCATCTCTACATCATTTTACTTTTTTGATTTCATTTAGCCACCTCTATTTTGTCATAATGGCTTTTCACAACTAACCAAAGCTGCAACTTCCTCACTCCAGTGGCTAATCAATCAGCTTCCTTCATCTTGTGCATTTCTGTCTAATTCTTTTCCACACAAAAATAAAAGCGATAATAATTATATAATTAAAATGTGTTTTGACATTTACCTAGGAACTATAGAGAGGGGAGGAGGGGGGTCAAAGCCTGGCGGGGGCACCGACATGTCGAAGCTCTTGCGGTTGTAGTCTCTCCTTTCACTGCTCATAACCTGCAAATCATTTATTTATAGAAATATAGTCAAAATAGCAATGCCACTGTATGTATGAAAGACCATAAGAAATAAAAGAAAGAAGGTAAGCAAAAATTAAAATTTTCCAATATACACATTAAATATATACACACTTCGACTATGGCTGCATGGTGTATGGTTGACTCTCGGGAGAACTCGAAGCCAAACTTAAACGTTACTGAATTGCTCAATCCGCTTTATCTTCGGGATCTCAAGTGATACGCATATTACCCAGTTCTACACCAAGTTGAAGTGGCTTTATCCGTCCTACCACCGTCAACATTTTCTGGCTACCTTCCTATACCGAGCCATTACAACACGGCGACCTACCTATATTCTACAGATCCTACAATTCAAACGCTCCTTTCAATCCCGTCCCACCAGATCGCATGCATCCGACCTCTATTCTCCTTCTCACCGAACTGCTGCATTTGATAAATCCTTTTTAATACAAGTTGTCTCCCTCTGGAACTCTATATCTTCAGTTATTCGACACTAATATCCTCTTTCAAATCTCTCCTCTTCGAACACCTTCTCCATTCCCAATCCAATTGATCACGAAATGTACTTAAAAACCTAAGCAGTAAAAACCTCAAAGTACACCCAGATACTCTTGATTATTTTGTAATTCATCGATATTTGGTTCACTTAATTACTTTCTTTGTATATTTTATATTTACACGTATTTATATCTTTTCATCGTTTATAACTTTATTGTATTAAATAGTATTTCATGGACACACCAAAATATTGATATATATTCTGTATTTGTGACTTGTTCTAAAGGGACAATAGTCCCAGAATAATAAAATTATTTTCATTCATTCATTCATTAAATAACTAGTATATCCCTGGTACGAAACCTTTTTTTTTTTTTATCAAATTATTAACATCCTCCTGAAATATTGTGAATGGCTCAATCTTATCAGAAACCTACAACTTTTTTATCTATGAAAATTCCCAGAAATAGATCGCTTCCTTATTACATTAATTAATTTAACAAAGTACCAAAAACCAATTTTCTTTTCACTTGGATCATAATATAATTCAATCACAAAATTGAGGAAAAAAGTGGTCTACAAAAATATTGGACCTTTTGGCTTACTTAACCTCGCTATTTTGACATGTTAGGGATTGAGATCATTACAAACTACCTAATATTTTTGTAGGCTGCCATTTTTAACGATTTTATGATCTTCTCTCACTATCTCCTGTGTGCTGCTAAGTATGGAGTACCTGCCTCATACCATCTTGTCCCTGTCCTCATAACAGTCCCTGTCCTGTGCAATAGTTCTCATCCCCCGCATGGTGCTTCCTCTCGCTGTGCCAATTCTCTCAATCAAGTCTGTATACATAAGCCTTGGCCTGCCTTGAGGTTGAGATTGCCTTCCTCCCATTCTTGTATGTCATCTTCAATCATTTATAGGACGGATCTAACTCCTAGTTCATCTAGCACCCTTTCATTCCTTATTCAATCTCATATGGTTTCTCTTAATATTTTATGATAAAGTGGAAGGAAATGGATGCTCATGCGTTTTTAGTACCTTATTAAATAAATAAAGTTTACTGATCTCGATTGAAAATGCTCTATTAATATAGGGACCTTAATTCCATTTTTTTTTTTTTCTGAAGTAAAAGTTTTTATTGAATCACAATAATGAATATTTTGGCTACAACACATCCACACATAACTTATGTGGGCAGGGTGGCTGAGCAGGCTAACGTGTGTGCACAGCACCGCCGTTGCCCGGCAACCTGATCTATGAGACAAAGGATTTAAAAATAGTCACGAGTTCGCATCCCGGTGCCGGGAGTCTTTTAAATCTCAGCCCACACCCCCTTGCCCGGGGAAACCCCGTGTAGCCTTAAAGGCGAGGACCCAAAAAAAAAAATTCACACATTACTTTATTATAAAAAAATATAGTTAAGGTGTTGTGGGATAAGGATCTCGATATGGTACAAGCCTCATTTATTTTTTAACGATGAACTACACAGAAGGTGACTGTCGTCAAGTGTGTTCAGAAGCACTACATGTTCAAATACAGAATTGGTGGTGTAAAAGTTTCTTCATGGCAGACCTATATAATAATGAATTATAGATCTTCTTCTCAGTCTGGCCAGAATAAATTGGCTACCTGTTGGATAATTCATCCAAGTCATCCAATCCTGCCGTCCTTCATATGGTGAATGGTGAGATTGGATTTACTTCATATATCTCCGAGCTCCTTCAATTCAAATACTCTGTTCACTCCCACATAACCCATTGTTGGTCTTCAGATTTATATATAAGTGTCTACCATTATTCAATTCTGATTCCTATCTCTTCCTACATCTGTGTGTGTTGTTCCAATAGCCTCCCCAACTTTAAATTTCGTCTATTCAATCACTTCCTATCCATCCAGTCTCCATAAAATTATAAATAAATATTGCTGTAAATATGTATATAAATTATTAGTTTATTTAATTTTTTTTTCTTAATTGATTTAAGTTATAAGGTAACTTATATATATATATATTTTTTAAAAGAAGGAGATGGTCGAGGGTGGCTGTCATAAATAGGCTAAATAGTGGTAAAACTATTTTATTATAAGCCAACGTTTCGACGCAACTTTGCAGGTCTTCTTCAGGGCTAGAACAGACAAGTCAGTTCGAAACGTTGGCTTTTAATAAAATAGTTTTAGCACTATTTAGCCTATTTATGACCACCACCCCGGGCCATCTCCTTCCTTTATAATGCAACGGTCAACTATTAAATATTCAATGTTTTTTTTATTATGCCTGTTTGTTTATATTGTGATTATTCTTATATATTTCTAAGGTTCCAAAGCCCACCTTCTATCTTTGTATATTATTCTAAAGGGACTTGACCCAGAGTAAATAAAGTATTATTATTATTAATAGTATGTACTCCAAGTATATACTAACACTAAATAAACATAATAAAACCTTCTTCAACCCAATATATATTATAGTTAAATGCATTAACTCAACGTGCACCATGAACTAGCTGAATGAAACAATACTGCTTCTTTAATAATAGAATCAGCTTTTATTCTATATAACTTATTTTCGAAATAATATTAGTTATATTAATTTCATGCATTTGTGAGGTGAAGTGCTGAGTGCTAGGAATTTATTTCAAAAATTACATTAATTTTAAGATATAATCAAATAAGTTCTAACACAGTTTTGGACAAAAATTCGTTAGGTAACTATTCGAGTTAATTAATTTTTGATTCCTGATCAAATGATAACCATTTAATATGTTTTAGGGTTGAAATACGCAATAAATAAAATGAGAAGGCCATTTAACAAGATTTTTCTTTTTGTATCTATTGTAAAACTAGTAGAATAGAGATATACTGTGTAAGAACTTATATGATAATATAATAAACTGATTATAAGAAAGAGAAAAATCTCAATCTCTTTCAAAATACTTTAATTATAAAATCGTTTTCATGTTATTTTCGTTAGAAAGAAATTGAGATCATGCTATAATAATTGGAGTGCATTTTATAAATAATTGAAGAGTCAAGTGCATATTGGTGATAAATATTTTTAAAATTTTAAAAATTGCGTTTAAATGGCCTGTATCCACTATAAGGCTGATGTTAATTATCAATGGGCATCTGCATCTCTTCGGATATGGACCAAATATTGAAATTATGTGAACATGAGGAAGGAATATAAAAAATATTCAATTTTTTCCAAAATGTTACTTATCATTTGACACTTCAATTATTAATAATGTTATGGGGAGAATTGAAAAGGATAGTACAGTCTCATTTTCTACAGAAAATAAACTGTGGAGGCGAACAAGGATCTTGGAAGTCATGGGATACAGAAATACAGGCGATTATGGTTAGTTAATAAAGGATATCTGTGGCCAATAAGTTGAAGAAAAACTTTTTTAAAAAAGGAAAACTCATTTTTATCACAAATCTCTCAGAGAGGAATTAAGAATAAGTAATTAATCATGTTTAAAATAATAAAATAGAAACTTTTAAATATAGAACCTTGAAACCCGACAAACATCTAATTTTTCAAAACAAAAATGAATATTATAATGATTTAGAGATGGTTGACCGTGATATAATATGAGGAGTAGTTTGGGGGGTGCAGTCAAATAAACACTAAATTTTTAAAAAATTATATTTTTAATTGTTACGCAGAAGTTTCGACCCACTTTGTAGGTCATTATCAGGGCTACAAAATATAAAAGGCACATGGTGAAAATAAAATAAATGAATTATAAGTAGTTATTAAATGAGAAACAGTTGTCTGATAAAGAAATAATACGATGACTTCAGAGATATAGTGGGTGACAGTGTAGTTAAAATATCAAGTATTATATATATAGAAGATACAAAAATAGAAGTACGAATAAAAAAAGAAACCTAAGGAGAATATAGTGTGAAGTTAAAAGTAAACAGATTGTGATAAAAGATAAGAAATGAGTGTATAATAAACTGGTAAAGATTACATTTGATAACTGTTCCAAATGTAACAGATAAAGAAAATGAGTGTTCATCACTACTTAATCGTTTTTTTAATTTCTTTATTCGTCAACACTCATTTTCTTTATCTACAGTTATCAAATGTAATCTTTACCAGTTTGATATACACTCATTTCTTATCTTTTATAATAATCTGTTTAATTTTAACTTACACTCTATATTCTCCTTTATTTTTTATTTTTATTCATTCTTATTTTTTATTTTTGTTTATACTTATACTCAAACTTATCTTCTATATATATATAATACTTGATATTTTAACTACACTGTCACCCAATATATCTCTGATGTCATCGTATTATTTCTTTATCAGAAAACTGTTTCTTATTTAATATCTACTTATAATTCATTTATCTTATTTTCACCATGTACCTTTTATATTTTGTATCTTTTGTAGCCCTGATGATGACCTCAAAGGTGGGTCGAAACGTCGACGTAACAATTAAAAATACTATTTTGTAAAAATTTAGTATTTATTTGACCGCACCCCCAAGACCAACTCCTTCTCACAATAATAAATATTGGACAATAAGATATTAATAATTCAAAAGATCGTACCAAATAAATGCAGGCCAAAAATACATACAATAAAGAAAAATATTTAGAAAAAATATAAATATTACACCTGAGACATATCAATGAAAGTTGCGAATTATGAACCAAAAATAAAGAAACTCATATTACATTATTCTCCAACAATGTGTTAACTATACTTCTGATCAAAACTCGTTCACCATTACATTATAATACGACAAATTCCATTTTATTAATACCGGCTATAATTTTAATTGTAAAGCCATTATTGTTGTTCATACTACTACTAATACCAATAATCAAACTTCATCATTTTTTTGGATCTTCTTTATTTTCATCTCATACTTAATGATTGTCACTTAGGAGCCATGTTCACAATCAATAAGGAAGATAAAGTAGTGACGGTTAAGAGAGTAGATGAAAAAAAAAAAAAATGCTTTTGAGCCAAACTTTAAAAAGTTATAGGAAAAAAAAATACTTATTTTTTATTGAAGAAAGTCAGCTGTTCTCCATATCATGGGTGACAGATAGTCACGACACAATCAGATTTTAAGATTTTTATAGCTAACGTTTCGAACAAAGCTTGTAGGCCATCAGGGCATGCTACCAGCACTGATAATGCTGATAACCCACAAGCTTGGTTTAAACGTTGCAAATAAAATCTTAAAATTTGACTATATAACACCCTTTTTTTTTTTATGCATAAAAACTATAAACATAAATGGAAAAATATTCCGTATTTACTTGAAAGTTGATGATCAAGTTGACGAAGAAGAAGAAATTCAAAATCGTGTAATGGGGGCTCACAAAGCATATTTCACCCTAAGAAGCATCCTCTGGAGTAAGCTACTGAGTCGGGGTACGAAAATGATTATATACAAAACAATAATCCGACCTTTACTGACCTATGCCAATGCCATCATGGAGCCATGGGGGCAGTTAAAGAGAATGGTATATGTCATTTAAGAAAGAACAAAGAGATCTAAGACTTATTCGACAATCTCCGAGTTTCTCATTTCATGCGAATTCAGCGCTTAAAATGGCTGGGACACATTATCAGAATGGATGAAGGTAGAGCTGTGAGGAAATTACATTATGGAACCTTGGATGGAGTAAGACCACGTGGAAGACCGAACGGAAGGTGGAAGGACTCCGTGGCTGAGGACTTGATGATGGTGGGAGTATCCAGCAGACATGCTGCTGACCGAAATGATTGGGAAAGGGCAGCTTCAGGCGCCTGTCAAGCCGATAAATAAATAAATTTACTTGAAAGATTTGGTGCAAAAAAATTAGGAAAGTTACTAAAAATTGCTTTTTTTTTTTATTATGAAATAGATTGGACCAACAATTCAGAAAACTATGTCTTATGTCTGTTATGAGGTCCTCAATATTAAAAAGTGACTACTTCTTACGCATAAAAACTTTAATCAAAAATTGATCAGAACAATGAGTTTCTTAGGAATAGCTCAACAAAAATATCAACAGGTTTATAAAAGAGCATTTTCAGACACAGCGGACTGCAAAACTTGTAGAATACATCAAATAAAAAAAACTGCGCAGCTATAACACATGAAGGGTCTTTGACTTAATACTTTTAATAAGGAAGTACAGTTTCAAGTCCAACGATTCCGCAAGAGGTGCTTTGGTTATAACACTTAACCTCCGGATTTTTTAATTAATAAAGAATAAACATTTTAATGAGTCTGGTTGGGGAGAGGGGGAGATGATTGATCCACATCTGATACAACAGAATAATTATCTACCACAATTGGATTCAAATTCCAGTCCAGGAAATAGGAACACAGTGTTGTACTCACTGAGTTACTCCACTCCCTTATTACCTCTAATATGAAAGAAAGGAAAAAAAACTATCTTAAGAAGTCTATTATATTTTACTACTAGCTTTACTCGGCCACGAGCTGCTGTGGCTTAGCCTGGCAAAATGAAAAAGAAAGAAAATAGATAGCATATATGAGTAGATTAATAGCAAAGAACATCTGTCATTTTTAAAAAGTTGGGGAACAAAATTGTCTGTAAAATGGCTTCAATTTAAACTAATACTAATGATTTTTTTTTCATGATTCAAATTGAAAATTCATAATCATCAGAAACAGTCTGAGTTGAACTTATAAAACTAAATTAAAAAAAAGTATAATAGTATTGACCTACATAAGGAGAATCATATAACTTCTTCAAATGATAATTTCAATTGCTGTAGTAATTATAAAATTTTCGATTAATCAATAAAAAAAAATTCTTGCCGACCTTCTGTAGTGAGGAAGCAAAAGAAACCTTTTCTGAAGAGAAAGCAGTAAATGTTTAAATTAAAACTCTATAACTGTGCAAAGAACCGTCCGATTTCGATGATTTTTTTCTTATTTTGTCAGAAATTCAGCAATCTTTAAATAAATATGGGTATTATCAATAAAAAATTGTGTACTTTTTTAGTTATCGGCAAATAGAATATTGAATTCATCGTAACGTTTTTCAGCTTGTTTTCGGGAAAGTATGTTATACACATAAATTAAAAGGGTTTCAAGGGGAAGACTTTAGCCAAGTTTCGTTAAAATCGGTAAAACCGTTTTGGCACTACAGCTTATAGCGACACATTTTTTTGCGGCTTTGAACAGAAAAACATTTACATTTTTTTTTTTTTTTTTTTACATATATGAAATTATCATAAGACAGAAGTACTATTGGCAGAAACCTTCCCAGGAGTGTATGGAACAACTTCCCAAAGTTTCATGGCGATCGGTTGAATGGTTTAGTAATGCACTAAGGACAAGCAGACAGACAGACATTCACTTTTATATCTATAGATTTAATTACTCTAAATACAACATTGTGTATTATAAGGAGACAGTAAAAGGAGAAGAATAAGAATATTTCTACAAAAAATGAACTAAAACAAGTTTTCCTTTTTTAAAAATAGATAAAATTTTCTGCATGCCAATAAATTTTGTTAAAAAAAAAACCAATTCATTACATTGAAAAATTTGAAAATAAAATCCATTAAGATGGATTGAGAAACAATATAATTTAGCACCTGTATTGGACTCTCTTTGGGAGGTGAATCGACCGGTCGCCTGGAATTGACAGTTCCAATGACATCTATGACGCCTGCTCGCCTTGCGTTTGGCGGAGGCCCAGCCTTTCTCTGGCCCTGCGTCGCCCCTCCGATTAGGAGCGTACTCCCGGTGCTAGCATATTTTGAGTTTTCGTTAACAACTGTCAATGAGGGATTTACCCGAGAGACTCCCAGGCCTCCGAGGCCGACCCCAGACTCGTGTACTCTCATCTGTTTCTGTCTTTCGCAATAGGCTCTCCAGGTCTCCTCGTTGAATCCGTAGTTGAAATAATCTTTAAAAATGAAACAAACAAATCATTACAAGTCACCAATAAAGTAAAAAAATATATATATCACAGTACATACAACCTAGAATATATAGCTTCAAAAGCTATGTAAACACACAAAAATAAATATTATTATTAATATTAATATAAGTCCTTCTTTATTTCTTTTTCTACACCAACGTTTCCGCCCTTAGGCCATTCTCTATGGAAGAAACCTATTTTAAAAGAAAATTATAATGATATTGGCTGAATTTAATTTTCTTTTAAAATAGGTTTCTTTCCTTGAAAATGTCCTAAAGCTCACGGGCATCACTCGTGGCCACCAATCTATAACCTTTATTGGCGATGACCCTGGCAACAATTTTACTTTTTTCTGCAGCATATCGACTAGTTTTTGATCAAATATTCACTATTTATTTTATTATATACCTAGTCATAACCCATACTGCTTCTAATTAATTTTAATTCTAATTTAAAAATGTGTTAACCTAAAAACTCTTTATAAACTTAATAAAATTCATTAAACTTATTTTTTTTTGCCTTTTGTGTAGAAATATGTTCCATTGTTTTGGAAATAATAAATATGTTAGTTATTGTATGTACATATTCCTTTTTACTAATGAATATCATATTTATTTTTTAAATATTATAAATCGTAACCTATCCGCAATTCACATCGAATAAAAACATGGGGCCCGACAACTAACACAAAACCTATAAATGTGGCGCCCGCTGATGAAAAAAGGTTGGGAACCCCTGATTCAAAAGATCAAAGAAATAAAGGTGTAGAGAAATAAATAAAGGAAATTGGTTATTATTATTAATAAAATGAAGTCCTAACCTACAAGATTGAAATATATGTATTAATAAATATTGTATTCTAATATAAAAAATTCAATTTTAAACTGAAAATATTAAACTTACGTCATTCTCATAGAAAAGACTAATTCTCAACTCCTTGCTTATATGACTTCACCAGTAAAGGAATGTATCAGGAATTTTATTTATGAATGAATAAAGCTATTATTCATCAGTAGAGAAACTATATACATTTAAAGAAAAATCAATCGTTAAATATATAATTTTTCATTCCCTTACTCTGACTCAATCACATTCAACAATAACATGCCAAATGTGATGGACACAGCTGCTTGCTATGGAAGCTGAATGGTTTTATTGTCCAATGTATAGAAAAAATATTTTGAGTATCAAAAAAATTACTAAGGCATGCAACAGTATAGTAAATAATATAAGCTATAGTAAATAATTTTTTAAAGGCAGAAGCGATAATTATTTATTATACTAAAAGTATTTTAATATCTCAATTCAAATGGAATTAAATAAATTAGAAATTAAAAAAAAAATTAAATTTGTCTTTTCTAATTAAAGTGCTGATTTACTGATTACCTATTAATAAAACAGTAAAACATTATCTGCTGTAATTTCATTACAAATATATGATATTTATTACTTAAATATTCACACTAATAAGAAGTAATAAATTTAAAATCAGACATACATCCTCAATTCCTAAAATATTATTTCGTAAATTTTTTTTATCATGTAGCTGATTTTTAGGTGGACATAATTACGTAGATAATTGTTTTTTTTTTATTGTTGAAATTTACAACTACATAAATGATAAAAACAACAAGTAAATTTGAACAAGTGACATGACACGTAAAACATGAAGAGAAACTACCCATTGGTAGCACTCCAATTATATTTCTATATTAGAAGGTATCGAGGCCATCTTCTTTTCAGTCACTTCGGAGGGTTATCAGGGATAGAAGAGGAAGCAAGCAAGGAAACAAGAGAGTTCGGATGGTTCAGAAGTTTATTGTGGAAGGATAGGTATCTGGATTGAGCTAAATTGGAAACATATGGTACATTAAGATCGTTATGGAAGATTGTGACAAAGTAAGGAACATTGAGGATTTTAAGGATTTTGGATTGGATACAAGAGGAATTTGATGGTTTAGTAGAGCCCCAAAGCTTAATCCTGTAAGTCCAAATAGGCCTGTAGATAATTGTAAACATTCTATAATACAGACATAACCTAACCTTGTTATAAAAGGAGTGTATTAATTAAGATTAGAATTTTGTCATGAATAGTTGACAGTATGGAATGGCAATCGCTGCTGTGGTTAGTACCAGTGAAATAGTACCTTTAGATTAGTAAGGAAGATTACAAAAATTGTTCCATCTACATCGTTCGACAGTGGACAGTGTATTTAAGAGTGTCCCTCTAATTTATGTTTCATTCCGCCACCAGGTAGGAAATTGAGTTCTGATGGGAACTTCAAATATCAAATAATTAGATATGTATCGCTGATTCCAAACTAAACAGGACATGCATCATCTCCCATGTTCAGTAGACTTAAAAGGGGCCAGCGGTTTTTTTGTTTTCTTTTAGTTTTGAAGTGGCTTTATAGCTTTACTGCGGCTCATTACATCTCTATATGATTAAAAAGCTTTTTTTTTGTTTTTTTATGATGTTAACAATTAACTCTTGAGATAGCTAAATCTGTATCTTAAGTTGGAATTACTTTAATCCATGATGAAAAAAGTATTGGGAACATGGAAAATTTCCTCATGACCTACCACTATGCCTGCTATATGAATATATATTTGTTATTTTCCTATGCCTGCTTGATCAGCCATGTGTAATCTTGCAGTTTAATATAGTTTCACTCTCCTAGCATAAGCGTTGTCTGTTTCAATAAAACACATCTTATGTCCTGTAATACAGGGCATGTGAATTATATCTAAATTTTCATAAGAGATTCGGGAGTACTTCAAATTTTTTTGTAGGATTCAAGTATTTTTCTACTTGGTTTATTTATGCTCTCTTAGCTACAGTTTTATACTTAAACCCCTTTTCGTCTCTATACGGTACATTCTCAAGAAAAAATTAATGAAGAACAATTTTATTTAGACATAATTCATAAAGTAGTTTTACATATTATTGGTTTATTACAAAAAGCCATTAAGTGACATTTCATAACTTTAACTAATTAAGAACTTAAAACAATGTTTCTATTATGAAATCAGAAAATTGTGTATTTTATGAATAAAATAAAATGGTATGTTTCATTTTCATGCCTTTACAGTTTCTCTGTATTGATAAATTAAGTTTTTTTATTAATATATTTATTGAAATTTAGAACTGTATTAGTTAACAATAATACAAGTAAATTCGAAATTCGTAACATGACATGTACAACATGAAGAGAAAGTACCCATCGGTAGCACTCCAAGATAAATAAAGTCAAAATTCATAAAAATATTTAAGAAAGTTTATCTATATAAAACATGTACTTGGTGTCTTTTTGCAATAAACAACGATATAATCATTTTTAAGGCAATAAAATGCTCTGAAGAACAAAAAAAATAGAAATTAACCATTATTTTCAATGATACAGCATATTCTATTTTCTATTCATGTTTTATTACTTTTCCTGTTCCTGCAAGGTAAGGAAAGTATTACAATTAGGAAAAATTGATTAAGTATTGTTTTCAATGAATCTTTACGATCAATAGCCTTCATGCATTCGGACAATGCATTTTCAGCAGATTTCTTGAAAGATAATTAAAATTCTGACAAAACTAAAAAAAAAAATTTCCAACCTGGTATAGATTTAATATTCAAGTTAAGAAGTATTAAATTTTATACACTAATTTTAATGTTCTGTTTTCCATAGCCATATGCTTTTCTTTTCACACCATCTAGAGGTTTTTCAACAGAGATGCCAAGCATTTTTATAAATGAAATAATATAAACTTTTAATTGAACATCATTAATTATAGTCTGAATGTTATTTATAGTAATATGTAAAGATTTATTAGTAGTTTTGTAACATATATTACCCAGTTTTACACCGAGATGAAATGACTTTATCCGTCTTACCGCCATTAATATTTCCTTGCTAGCTTCCTATACCAGGCCATTAGAACATGGCGACCTGCCTATATTCTACAGATCCTACAATTTAAACGCTCCTTTCAATCCCGTCCCACCAGATCCCATGTGTCCAACCTCTATCCTCCTCATCGAACTGCTGCGTTTGATAAATCCTTTTTAATTCAAGTTGTCTCTCTCTGGAACTCTATACCCTCAGATGTTTGACACTAATATCCTCTTTCAAATCTCTCCTCTTCAAACATCTACTCCATTCCCAATCCGATTGATCACAAAATGCACTTAAAAACCTAAGCTGTAAGAATCTCAAAGTACACCCAGAATCTTTAGAAATAGAAAATAATTTTATTCTGGGACGAAGTCCCTTCAGAATAACAAAAAATTACAAAATTAAAATGTTATATCTGGCCAAATAAAAACAAACATAAAAAGTAAAGGTAAAGATAAATCAGAAAGAAAATATTAGTTATTTTGTGATTCGTTGATATTTTGTTTACTTAATTTACTTTCTCTGTTTATTTTATATTTATACACGTTTTTATATCTTTTTATTATCTATAATATTATTGTATTCCTAATCATCCTGTAAATATTTAATTGTATTTTATAGACACACCAGAATATTAATATATATTCTGTATTTGTAACTAGTTCCAAACGGACATTAGTCCCAGAATAATAAAATTATTTTCATTTCATATAAAAAAATGTAAATAGACAATCTAATGCATAATATTAGGATGCCATTCGAATGTTCTTAATTAATTAATGAGATATCAAGGATGATAAGTTAACGACTCCAAATTTACATAATACTTGATTTTTAATCACCCTACTCAGCAATTTCAGATCTACAATAGTATACAAGTATAAAATTTAAGCTTTTGTTAATAATCTCACCTATCAGTGCTGTTTTGATACAAAAATTCAATTGATACTTCTTCAATTTTATTTTTTATAGAGATTAGTTTATAATAATAAATATACAAAAATCCCTAATTTTTTTTTTATTTGTAAAGATAATTAGCATTAAAGTGACAGTGACAGAGTTATGTCACAAGGGTGGAGATACGGCTAATTTATGAACTGTCAGCGTTCGACTCATACCATTATCTCATACTTTTCAGCTCAGAATGGAGTTTCCAGCTTTAAAACCCGACCAAAAAAACAATATTTCCATTTTGTTTCTTGTCTCTGAATAAAAATATCTATTACGCAATTATTTTAAATTGTGGATTTCGTCGTTTCAGTTTAATATCCTCGATATAATGCACAGTAAAAATATATATAAATTTTTATGATGATAAGCTACCTAAAAACACCAGTCCTGCGTATAGTGTTCTGACTTTTTAGTAAACCAATTTTTAAAAAAATATATATATGTTATACCTGTTATATCTGCACCAGGTTTCCTCCAAGGTTTGTCTTCAAGCGCATCAATACTAAATTCGTGAGCGGGGACACCATTTATCGTACCAATACTCTCGAATTCTTCAATAGAAAACTTTCCAGTCTGTTGCTATTATAACAACATTAAGCGATAATAATAAAAAAAAAAAAAAATTATTACAAATCCAGAAAAAATAATTTATTTGATCATTCTTTATTTTAATTTATCTAATCAATATTTTAAAACTAAAACTTATTATATGATAAAAAAGAAATGGCTTGTTACAAACATACTTTATTTAATTTTTCAATGCCAGATGACAGCTGAGCGCCTCTTTTAATGTTTAAATTAGAATACTGAGGAGCTGTTTTTATATCACCGATGGTGACCCTCACATCGTCTTCACTGTCATCATCATCGTCTTCCTCTTCTTCCTCCTCCCCGCCCTCATTGGTATCTATATAAATAGTAAACAAAGCATGTCTGTAATCTCTATATTCATTTATTAAAATACAAACACAATAACTATGAAAAAATAATAAATATTCATTTTTTTTTATTTTTATTTTGTTATAATTGTATAACATATAGTAATGTACACCTTTATTGGGAGTTAGTAAAAAGGGTTTAATAAATCAACGTTGAACAATTAAAAGGCAAGCTAATCTACTTCTACTAGTGCAGGGAAAAGAAAATGGCTACTCTGTAATTTCTCAAGATGGAAAATTCCAAAGATAAGAGGGGCAAAGGTTTTTGTTTTGGGCAAATAGTTGTTGTGTGGCTGCAGTGAAGAGAGGATGTGAGAAATGATTCTGGTTCCAGTGGGTAAAACCCAGAAATAGTATTACCATCTTGGAAGTTGTGTTAGGCAGAACATCAGAAAGCATTTGAAGACAAATTAATTTAATGCAACACAGGAAGAAATAGTATCTATAGAAAAAAGGTTAGCTTGCCAATTCATACTCGACTTTATTTTAAAATCAGTGATTAATTTTAGTATAAATGTGTAAATAATAATAGTTTGTCTGAGTTGATCTGATTCTCAGTAACCCACACCTGAGAAAAATAAATATATTAATACTCTTATAATTTTGTTTTTTATTTAACAACCTCTTATTTATTTAGGAAGTATCCTAATAGTATAAAGTGGTCTGCCACGAAGTTATATTATTATTAATTGTAAAATATAAGAGGGATGTTACAATATGTAGTATATATATAAACATATAAAGTAAATGCATATGGGTGTATATAAATATACATATATTTAAACATCATATATATATATATATATATATATATATATATATATATATATATATATATATATATATATAATGTTTAAATATATGTATACTTATATATGGTCTACAATGCCAACAGAAAAAAAAAAAAATAATGTAAATAAATATATAGATATATCATCTTTTGCGTAGAAGGAAAATCATTCCCGAGAGTAGAAAAATTCAAATACCTAGGCTCCACAATAACTTCCATGAATGACCAATGGGCACAAATAGATCAGCATATAACTAGTGCAAACTGAGCTTTCTTCTCCCTTTTAAAAGTATTGAAATCCTGAAAAATCTCAAATGAAGGAAGGGTGTACAACACTATGATAAAGACAGCTCTAATATATGGTTGTGAGACCTGGACATAAACCAGCACCCTAGAAAAAAGTGTTGGTAGATTTCAGAGAAACATCCTTCACACGATGACCGGAGCGATCTGGAATCAGAGTACTAACACATGGGAAAGAAAGGCCAATAAAAAACGAAACTAGTCAATCAATATCCCATGATATGAAGGCATGGAGGTTAAGATGGACGGGGCATGTAGCTCATAGCAATCCATCTGGAAGCCTCTACGTAACAATGAATGCCTCAATAGAAGGCAAAAGACCACGTGGAAGGCCAAAAAACAGATGGTTAGATAAAATAAACAAAGATGCAATAGAGATGCATGCAGATAAATGGAAAGAAATAGCCCAAAACAGGCAGAGGTGGAACAGGCTTGTTAAGGCGGCAAAAGATCTACATGGTCTGTACCGACAACAGAAAAAAAAAGTTATAATATATATTTTTATAAATAAATGAAGTTCATGCTAATGAACACATAAATACTATGAATTCCATATTTATTTTGATCATGAAATCTTGGGCCTAATCATCAAAGTAGTGCAACACTTTCCACCATTCCGTATATAATGGAAGAATAAAAAAAACAGAAGAATGGCCTCTTCCGAAGCATTATATTTTGTCATCAAAAGTGTTAACCTCAAAAAAGGAAGCAATGTTTTAAATCTATAAAAAGACTTAGTTCATACATAGGTAAACCAAAACCAATCAGTATACTTTGAAAAACTTATTACTTAATGTAAACACAATACTTACTTATTAACATGGAAATTACTTAAAAGGTGATGGGGATAGTAGTGTATGGTTTCCAATAAAAAGTTTCTAAAGAATAATGTATCAACGAAAATGAGAATAAGAAATGCTGTGTAACCAAAAAACCAATCTTTAAGGCATAAACAAAAAAAAAAAATTAGGAAAACTAGAAATTTTAGTTTAAAAATAAATTAAAAAATTAATTATAGCAACTGCAAAATTGTATGAAAATGGCCAATAATAATAATCCTGAAATGCTCTGGTGACTGAGTATCTTAGTGCAGTGCATAACCTCCACATTGTTGGATAAAGCATTCCGGTCTTCTCAAAACAATTATCATTCTGAAATAGTCTGATCAAGTTAATTGCAATAATTTCTTTCATGAATCTCAAATTTTTCTTTAGTTCTCATCATATTTGATCACTAAAATATAGAGAATATTTGATCCCTAAAATACTTTTTATTTATATTTCTAGGAATTCGAAAAACTAACAGTGCTCACTATCACACTTTTGCTTCTTAACAATGAAAAATAATAACCAAAAAATCCAAATCACCATACTTGTATTAATTAAAAACATTGAGTTCTTCAAAATGTCATCAGGACAGTACAGTTTTAGTATCGGTACTGTTGCACGGATTAGGTATGGTTCACTTCAGTCCCACTTGTTTATGAAATATAAAAAACAGGCGAGTGTTGTGACGTCAGCTCTTGTCCCTACCATCCATTCCTCTTTTTAAAAAACCCACATATTTCAATCATAGGACGTCTTTAGTAACAAATTATACATTAAAGTTATTAATTTATTTTCAAATAAGTTAATTATTATTTTTTTATAATGGTAATTACTCTGGAAGAAAAATAAAGAAAATGATGTTGAATATGCCTTCAAGGCCTGTTGAAAAAAAAAATGTTTTTAGGAATAAACTTTTTATCGCAATCAGCTTTCATCTAGTAGCCGTATATACATTGTAATTTTAAACAAGTACATATTGGAATTGTATAAATATTTACCTTAGATTACTCACATATAAACAAATGGACCAATTAAAGAACAAATTATTTTTCTAATTTGGGAGAGGGCTTCAGCCCAAACAAACATTGGGAGTTAGCTGCCTTATTATTGCTATTCGTAGTTATTTATTTTATGTCGAGTGATAAATTATCAGGATGAAACAAAATTGCCAGGAATCAGTCAAATTATATTTATTGGATTAGCCAACTTTTTGACTCAAACAGGTGGACTGTCTCAGGGCTATCGTTCCAAAGTCGAGACAATAACTGACAATGACACACATGTTTGGGTCAAGACGTTGGCTAATTCAATTAACATATCTTGACTGAAATTCCTCAGACTAGGTTTCATCCAAATTGTAAAATTGTTTTCAGTGATTTAAAATTAAGGGTTCTTATCTATTACTATTTATTTGTCACAGCTTACAATATATGTATGTTTAATTACGGTTACATAATGTAACCTAAATTTTGAATATAACTCGACACATTGTTACATAGATAAGGGTATACTAGAACTTTAATGGCAGGAAAGTTATTAGTAACTAACTTAAGAGAACGGTCGCCTTCATACTCTTACAGATAAACCCAGATGCATTCGGCACTCCATAAACAAGTGTGACCGAAGTGATTGTGAACTATATATAATCTTTACGGAACTGTTGTGAACCAGTAACTTAATTTCTTCTGAAACACTAAACCATAAGTGGAAAATATACCAAAGAACCCTATTTAAGTTCTAAAACTCTGAACTAGAGTCATAAATCACATACTTTTATCTAGTTAGTAGACAGGCCCAATGCTATCAATGAGCTCAGTACTGAGTTTAGGAAATTACACATATCAGAGTGTGTTCTACAACTGAGTAACAACCAATTTACAAAATATGAAGAATTCTAAAAATTAGTTATAGAAGATACTAAAGAGTTTACTTTTCATAGATAAGAAGTTCTGATCTATTAAAACACAAGTTCCAGTTTTCCAGATACAGTAGTTGTAGTGTTCACCATAAAATGTGAAGATTTCTAAATGATATTTCCTCAAATAAACGATCAAGTTAAACGTACTTTAGAAACTTATAATTTATACTAACTTGTCTTTTCATTGTCAATTTCTTGAGATGCAGCAGTTGCAGGTTCATCATCCTTTACTTCACCAGGTTCTGTCCCTTCTGCCGGATTTATCTGAAAATGCCATCTTTTGCTAATTGATATCTTAATGTATCAATAAACAGAAATGTTAGTGGTTTTACCTCAGGATTGATGCTGTTGGTCTCAGGAATAACTGGTTCACTGACTGGCTCAGCGGGGGGTTCCTCCTTTTGTTTCTCTTCAATTTCTTTTTTAATTTCTAAAGTTGGTAAATTGTCAGTTGTTGAATCACCGTAAAGCCATTGCTCTTCATTCATAGAATCTTCCTGATCAGCCATAATTAACAATTACATGCAACCCTAATCAAGAAGCCGCTGGCACAATAGAAGGTTCTGTTTACGTCGCCTTATCCAGTGTTGGCAATACACAAAACATTGGCTATTTTTATTTTTATTTTTTATTAGCAATATAATTATGTCATTGGGGCCTTAACTATAATTTTATGTTTAAAAAAATTAAAAAAACATGAGAGTGGTGAGTCAATTTACTTGACTATTATAACATATGAAATTTTTATTCAACAAATACTGAATATAGTGAAAAGAAATATATGTACTTTTTAATTTTCAATTTTAATTTTACAATTTTCGTTCAAAAATTAAAACAAAAATTTTTCATAAGACCATTAATATTCTTTTAAAAATCATCAATATTAATTCTTCTATTGTTGATTGTTTGCAATCCATAGAGGTAATATTTAGTTTTCTGGCATACAAAACATGCATTACTGATAAGGTTCATAATAATTAGATAATTAGATTAGATTAGCCAACTGTAAATATGAAATACTTTATTCTATAAACATATCGACTCAGTGATCGTAAACTTATATTATTACCACTAGCGGATCCAGGATTTAGTTTTGGGGGGAGGCTTCAGCCCGACAGTTTTTTTTTTCATATATATATATATATATATATATATATATATATATATATATATATATATATATATATATATATAACGATAATTAATTTGAAAAAAAAAGAAATTAATTAATTATCTATATGAAATGGTGTTTAAGTGGTTCTTGAAGTCCTATTAAACGTAATTACACCAACAAGAATACTTTAAGAGATAGTATAAAGTATTTTTTTCTGTAAAATATGATTACATTTTACCATTTTGGGGGGGCTTCAGCCCGAAAGCCCCCCCCGTAGATCCGCCCGTGATTATAACTTATATTTCCTAATGATATTAAAATACATAGAATAAATCATTTTATACTCGATAAAGTGTTAAAGTTAATTTCATGCGGCAATTATTATTTCATTTAAAATATATTTCCTTTATTAGAAAAATCATAAATTTTTAATTTTGTTAATACTGAAATGCTTACTGAGTTAGTAAGAAAGACGTCTTTTCCGTAAGTACACCATGCAGGAGAAATTATCAATGGAATTTTTCTGTTTTCACACGGGTCAACCCGCTTACCTTTTTTTTTTTTTTTTTTCTGTTCTTCCCTACCTCGCCTTCTAGGCTATACGGGATTTTCCCGGGCCGGGGAGTGAGGGCGGGGAATTTAAAATCCCCTACGGCACCGGGACGCGAACTCGTACTTTTTATAATCTTCTCAAATCTGTTATTCGGTTGCCAGGCAACTCGCGGTGCTGTGCACACGCTTTAGACCATTCGGCCACCCCGCCCCCTGCCCGCTTACCATGTAATGACAGACATTACTAGCACTGCAAATAGCAGACATTTTCAAACTTTCAAAACTGTTAATAATGTAAAGAGAACTGCGTCCCGATGAAAACGTTTTTACTTTGCGTTTAATTCAGAAAAAATAATGGATTTTCTTCATCTCATTCCTTGAACACAACTTAACTTTTCTAATTCCCTTTTAAACATACCAATCAGAGCATAATTACGCTTACAGTAAATAAATAAATAGTGCTTAAAAGACATTTTTTTAAATTTTGTTGAAATGTCTACGCGGTATCAGGTGCATAGGTGTTATTTACGCCACTGGCTTTGTTGTATCATTGCTGGTTTATGTGGTTTAACTCTTAATTAATGGAATTCGATAAATCCATGGAAACAGTTAGAAATTTAAGTTGAAGATTTTAGATAATTTTAAACTAAATATACTTCTTTATTGCCTTAAAATAAACACGCTGCTTATCTGTTCTCGGCTGCTCAGTGACGTTTGTTTATAAGTGATATTAGTATTGTATTATGTGCTTAACTTGGGCAAGAAGATCGATTATAAATACTTCTCACAATAGAGACAGTCAGAGCAATTTCAATATTTCTAATTACACATATTTGATATGTGTGTTATATGATTTATCATTTATGTATTAACATAATAAAAAAATTAAAGATGATTTATTTGAAATATCTGTTGAGGATTTTCGAAAGAATTGTAATGTTTCTTCATAATTCTGCACAATAAATTCAATTCTTCCTCGCCAACTGGACAGAGAAACAACTCATGGATGGGGTCATTGTATGAATGCTATCTTTATGGAATCCTTTTACGATAAATATTATAATTACCTGTCTGCTTAGGTTTGCCTTTCAACCGGTGGGCATTAACAATTCAATGTATCATTCACCACATATTCGCCAGAAAATAATCGCCTTCAATAACATTAGATTATCCAAAGAACTATTCATATTTTTTTTGTTTAAATTGTAATTTTAGTGATGGAATACTACATTATATAATTATGACAATCGGCGCCCCTCGGCCACGACATCAGCCTACTCTCTAAAAAAATTTAATTTATTTCTTGAGCTGTTTTATATTATGCAGTATTTGAATTGTATTTCATTCAATATTTCTCTGATACAGTTGCTTTAGTAATAGGCTAACGTAATTTATTCTAAGTTTTGTTTGTTTATTTATTTAATGTGTTTTTTTTTTTTTTTTTGGAAAAAATACTAGTTTTCAATAGTTGCATTTTAATATTGATATGATATATCGCAATAAAACTACCGAATAAAATTTTCAATATTTTTCGAACATCTCTAATTGTTGGTGGATATTCATGATTCATTGTTATGAACACAAAGAATATAATCCAATAGGCTACTGCCATTGCATGAAAATACATCACTATTAAATAAGCGTTATCATTGCCTGAGTTATTTTTAAAAAAAATTAAACATTTCTCTACTCTCGAAATAATGAGTTTTCATCAAATCCTGAAAATAAAAACTATCAATATAATGAATATAATAATTACTTCTCTAATTAAAACCATTGAATATGATTTCATTAATTTTTGGGAAAAGGAGTCCTGTTTGTGAAAAATTGAGTGTGTGAGATGTAATGGCAACACTGAGTAAGCGCGGACGGCTGAGATCGTTACATATTACTGAGTTCAATTTGTGTTTTAGTTGAAGTGAATATTAATGGCTCTTTTGGAAGAATATGCGTTAAAGACTTGTAACATCTGATGCAGTAACAGTTTCTAAAGTGAGTTATCTTTAAGTTGTTTTTTTTTTTACTAAAAGGTGAAAAAGCATTTAACGTTTTTGTTTTATTTAAATTTAGGCTAATATAAAACTCTATGTATTAGATACTGTAACAATTTATCTTGTCGCCTTCTACTAACATAATCCTTACATAAAACTTAACTTAAAATCAATATTATGCGGTATAGACTTTTTTTATCAATTTTATTAATATCATTATAAAGCTTCTCTAATGGTGTCATCTTATCGTAACTTACATTTTTATTTACGAAAATTCTCAGAACTGCAGCGTTTTCAATCCTAAGGTCGGTAATTGAAACCAAAAGTCGCCATATTGAAGGAAATTTTTTTAAACTTTTACGAGTAAAAACTCAAATATTGATCTTATTATATTTTTCATGGATTGATCTGATAGAACTTTTTGTTACCTTAACACACTAGCGGATCCAGAATTTAATTTTGGGGGGGGGCTTCAGACCGAAAGCTTTTTTTTTTAAAATAAAACTCACTATAATTACTTTGAAAAAAGAAAGAAACTAACTAACTATATGAAATAGTGTTTAAGTGATTCCTTTCCTCAAGGTAGTATCGTTGATCCTATCCTTTATACAGCTGACATCCCAACCCATCCTGACACTGTCATCACAACGTATGCTGATGACACATGTATCTTATCTGTTAATAATGATCCATCAACTCCATCCCAAACTCTCCAATCACATATCACAAGCCTTGAAGAATGGTGTAAAACTTGAGAATTAAAATAAATTCCAATAAATCCCATCAAATTACCTTTACCCTGCGTCGCAAACCCATGACATCCTGTCCTACAGTATCCTTTAATAATTCCTCACTTATCCCTGTTGAACAAACCCGTTACCTAGGTACAAACGACTCACATGGAATCCTCATTCAAGACTGAAACGACAAGAAACTGCTCGACCTTTCCGACTACTCCAACACTTACTAGACAAACGCTCTAAGCGTTCAATCAATTACAAACGACTCATATATATGACAATAATAAGACCTATTTGGACTTACGGAATTGAGCTTTGGGGCTCCACTAAACCATCGAATTCCTCTCGTATCCAATTCTTACAATCCAAAATCCTTCGTAAAATCCTCAATGCTCCTTACTTTTTTCCAAATAAAATCATCCACAATGACCTTAATGTTCCTTATATCTCAGATTTGGCCCAATACAGATACCTATCCTTCCATATTAAACTTCATAACCAACCCTTAAAAATATATGAAATAGAAGTCCTTATATTGTATTATGCCCATTTTTCGAGGAGGATGTCAGGTATTGGTGCACTATCAACTATAGGTGCTTTAACCTAATAAGGTGCTAAAAACTCATGAACACCCATTTATTAGTAAGATAATTTGATCACAAAATCGAAAAAAATAAACAGTTCGTTAAAAAAATATTTATCCGCTTTGCGTATTTAGAGATAAATGTAATGTGATTGGACACGCTAGACATATTTGATATATAACTATTTGAAAGTAATAAATAATCGTACCCATGGATGCGGATTTTCGATTGGGACGATGGACCTAATAAAAATGGCGATTTACCAAATAAAAAAATATATGAGAGTAATGAAACAAACAATTTAATATTGAATACTTAAAATTAATTTATTTACATGTTTGTATGGTTGAAAGGATTTTATTTTTGTTTTGTTTTACTTATTATATATACTCGAAAATATCTTTTAAAAATGTAATTGAATAGGTATATAATGGATTAATTTAGATTAAACACAGGGTCTTTTTAATATTGGTACATTTCTAGAACTTTTTTCAGCCAAAATGGATAATGTAAAAAAAAGAAAAAAATCTTGGATTTATAAATGTCTTTATAAATTAAATACCTCAAATAAAAATACGTTCTACGCTGTCCGATCTAGTGTGATGAGAATATCACGTGAAATTTGAAGGGCGATTAAATCATAACATTGTTGAATATGTTGATATATATAATTATCTTTGAATATAATTCACAATTTAAATAAAAATAACATTTAGGTATCAATTAAATATTTACTTAC